GGGCAGTTCTGCTCTGCCCTGTAGGGTCGCCACGAGTCCGAATCGTCTCGACAGCAATGGGTTAGGTGGGTTAAGCGATCGACTGCTAGCCGAAAGGTTGGCGGTTCTAACCCACTGGGTGGCTCCGTGGGAAAAAGACCTGGCGATCTGTTCCCGTAAAGGTTACAGCCTAGGAAAATCTATGGGGCAGTTCTACTCTGTCATATGAGGTCACTGTGAGTTGAAATTGACTCGACGGCAACTTACATCAACAGCAACAACATCTAGATATACCTTGTTCCTTTTAGCAGCTGCCGCGTATTCCATAGCATAGATATAGCTAGATTTAACTAACCCGTCACCATCCATTCATGCACTTCTAGAATAATAACTAATTACTGATCGTGGCGTCCTTTCTTGGGCTCGCCCCTTGCACTTCCCGTCTTCCACCGCTAGGAGGAGCCACCCCACCCCAGCACTGCCCCAGCCATGTGTCTCCCCACCCCGCCCCAGGTCAGTGACTGGTGGGAAGAATTCGTGTACTTGCGCTCCCGAAACTCGCTGATGGTCAACAGCAACTATTACCTAATGGTGAGAAGCTGGGTAGGGGGCTGGAGTGGGGGATGGGGGGAGCTTATCGTTAGTGCCCCAGGCCTGGGGTCTGGGGTCTGGGCAGAACATGGGGTTTATGGTTAGTGATCTGAATCTGGGACTACAGTTTGGGATTCATCGTCCTGCCCTCTGTTGGGGTCAGGAGCCAACCTGACCGCAGGCGTGTCTTTTTCTCCTTTGCTGACCCCCAGGACTTCCTGTACGTCACGCCCACTCCGCTGCAGGCCGCTCGTGCCGGAAATGCTGTCCACGCGCTGCTTCTGTACCGCCAACGCCTGACCCGCCAGGAGATCCCGCCCGTAAGCTGGGCGCTATGGGCTGGGGTGGGGCCACGTGGGTCCTGGGCGCGGCTCACTAGCCCACGCCTCCCGCAGACTTTGCTGATGGAGATGCGCCCCCTGTGCTCTGCCCAGTATGAGAAAATATTCAACACCACCCGCATTCCGGGGGTCCAAAAAGGTGAGAGTCCCTCCCTCCCCCCTCAGTCCTGCTTCCCCATTGATAGAGGCTGAACAATGACTCTACTACCTGGGTTCAAATCTCAGCTCCATCATTTCCTAGCTGTGTGACCTTGGGCAAGTTATTACTCTCTCTGAGCCTCAGTTTTCCTCATTTCTAAAATGGGACAGGTGTTCCTGGTTGACACAAACTGTTAAGCACTCAGCTACTGACTGAAAGATTGGCAGTTTGAATCCACCCAGAGGGACCTCAGAAGAAAGGCCTAGTGATCTTTTTCTGAAAAATCGGCCATTGAAAACCCTGTGGAGCACAGTTACACATGGGGTCGCCATGAGTTGGAATCAATTCGAGGGCAACTTTTTTTTTTTTTTTAAATGTTGTAAAAATATAGTTAACACAACATTTGCCAATTCAGCATTTGTCACTTCTACAATTCGGTGAAACCCATTACGTTAATCATGTTGTGCAACCATCACTAACATCCATGGCTATATTTTCCATCCCCGTAAACAAAAACTCAATGCTAGCTAAACAAAGATTTTCTCTTTCCCCTTCCCTCCTGCCTCTGGTAACCACTGTTCAACTCTGACCTCTATACATTTGCCTGTTCTCAGTGTTTTTGCAAGTAGTTTTTAAAATGGGGTAATAATGTACATAGAGTTGTGAGGATTAAATTAATGTTTAGAACAGTGCCTAACACATAAACCCATTGCCATCAAGTGGCTTTTGACTCATAGCGACCCTATAAGAGAGGGTAGAACTGCCCCATAAGGTTTCCGAGGCTGTAAATCTTTAGGGAAGCAGACTGCCACATCTTTCTCCCAGAGAGCCGCTGGTGAGTTCCAGCTGCCACATTTTGGTTAGCAGCTGAGCACTTAACCACAGCGCCACCAGGGCTTCTTCACATAATAAATGTTTGTTGTTCTTATAATATATCTGGCCTTCCCGCCTCCACGCTTCTGCCGGTGCAGACCACATCCAACACTTCTGTGACAGCCGACACGTGGCTGTCTTCCACTGCGGCCGATTCTTCCGAGTGGGAACCCACTCCCGAAATGGCCTGCTTTCCCCTCGGGCTCTGGAGCAACAGTTCCAGAGGATCCTGGACGACCCCTCCCCCGCCTGCCCCCACGAGGAACACCTGGCGGCCCTGACCACAGCGCCCAGGTGAGGGTCAGAGAGCAGGGGCTTCCAGAGACCCCAGCCAGCGAGCGGGGCTGCAGAGGGCAGGTTTGGGGCGAGGCCAGATCGAGGGCCAGGCTGGACTCAGGCAGGTACCCCGGCAGGGGCACGTGGGCCCAGCTACGGAGGTCCGTGAAGATGCAGGCCGCGGAAGCCCTGGAGGCCGTGGAAGGGGCCGCTTTCTTTGTGTCCCTGGACTCTGAGCCTGCAGGGCTCACCAAGGAGGACCCCGCAGCTTCGTTGGACGCCTATGCTCACGCCCTGCTAGCCGGCCGGGGTCATGACCGGTGAGTACCCCCGGAGACTTGGACCCCACCCAGACCTGGGACCCCCAGGACCTGGTATCAGATCTAGGACCCCAGACCCAAAGATTTGACACCTGGGGACTCCAAACTGAGGAAATCCACGCCTCAGACCTGGGGACTTCTGCCTCCAACAACCTCTATATCTGAGACCCCAGGCCCATAACCCCAGACTCAGAAACCCCAGACAGAAGACAGCCAAACTCTTGACCCCAGACCTGGGGCCTCCAGACCCAGAGAACCCCTAGATCTGGGATCCCAGATCCAGGACCCGAGACCAAGGGACCCCAGGTGTGAGGACCACCAAACTCCAGATCTAGGATGCCCAAGCCCAGAGAACTCCTGGATCTGGGGACCCTAGACTTATAACCCAGGCCCAGGGACCCAATATGAAGGCCACTGGACCCCAGACTCAGAACTGCAGACAGTGAGTCCCTAGACCTCAGTGCCTTTATTCCCAGGCTGAAATCCCAGACCCAGGCACCCCAAGCCCAGAACCCCAGACCTAGAACCCCCATACCTAGAGATCCTCAGATAACTTCCTAAATGCCCACTAGACATCCTCTGCTTTTCTATGCTCCCAAGGGAGTTCCCCTAACTTCCCAGCATCCTCCACAAACCCAAGGCCATCCTTGACCCTTCCACAGCAAGTTCCCAAATATCCCCAAATTCTAGACACAAGTCAGAGACATTCCAGAACCACCCTCTAGAGACCCCCCAGTCCTCCTAGAGACGCTCATACCAGGACCTGAGCCCCGATTTCCAGACCTTGCCACCCTGAACCTCTCCCTCAAGTCCCACAGAGAACACCCCAAATTCCATCCCCCAGGCCCCTGCTTCTTGGTGACCCCTCTGAACTCTCTCCCACAGCTGGTTTGACAAATCCTTCACCTTAATCGTCTTCTCCAATGGGAAGCTGGGCCTCAGCGTGGAGCATTCGTGGGCAGACTGCCCCGTCTCAGGACACATGTGGGAGGTAGGGGACCCCACCCCCGTTCCCAAAGACCTTCCTCTCCAGGGCCTCAGGATCAGAGGAGAAACTCAGGCTCAGAGAGAGAGACCAGCCCAGGGTCACTTAGCAGAGAAGGGGGTCTGGGATGATGACTTCCCTTTGACGACTGGGAAAATTGGGGCTCAGCAAAGGGAATTGATTTGCCCAGAGTCACCCTTATAACTCTCTTTTTCTTTTTAATAACACTTTATTTTGTTTTTATTAAAAGTTTACAGAGTAAGTTAGGTTCCCATTTGACAATTTCTATAAAAATTGTTCCATGACGTTTGTTACATTTTTCACATTGTGGCAACATTCTCTTTAACTGTGTTCTGGTTGTTCCCTTACCCTGATAATTTTCTATGGGGAAAAATGCAAAGCTGCCAGGTTTTTTTAAAATTGTGGTAAAAATATATATAACAAAACATTTGCCATTTTAACCTTTTTTATGTGGACAATTCAGTGACATTAATTACATTCATTATGTTGTGTAGCCATTGTCATTATCTGTTGCCAAGTTTTTTTTATCAGCCTTAACAGAGGCTTGGAGTTCCTGGGTGGCACAGATGGTTAAGTGCTCGACCCCTAGAGGCGCCTTGGAAGACAGGCCTGGCTATCTGCGTCCAAAACGTCACAGCCTTGAAAACCCTATGGAGCAGTTCTACTCTGCACACACAGGGTTGCCATGAGTTGGAATCCACTCAACAGCAACTAATAACAATGAGACTCAGTCCCCCGAAGCAGTAACTCTTCCTTTTCTCCTCCTACCTGCCCCTGGTAACCACTAATAAAGTTTCATCTCTAGGCATTTGTCTATTCTAGATATTTCATATAAGTGGGATCTGACAAGATTTGTCCTTTTGTGACTTATTCCACTTGATGTTTTCACTTATTTCACTTCATGTTTTCACGGTTCCTCCATGTGGTAGCACGTATGAGAACTTCATTTCTCTTTAGGGCTGAATGCTTTTCATTGTCTGGACTGACCGTATTTTGTTTATCCATTCATCTGTTCATGGACATCTAGGTCGTTCCCACCTTTTGGCTATTTTGGCAATGATGATTGGTGTACAAGTAACTGTTTGTGTTCCTGCTTTCAGATTTTTTGGGTATATTCCTAGGAATGAAACTGCTAGGTCATAGGGTAATTCTGTTTAACTTTTTGAGGAACTACCAAACTGTTTTCCACAGCGGCTGCACCATTTTACATTGCTACCAGCCAGGGGCAGACTAACCAGTAAGCAAGGTATGCACAGGCTTGCTGGTGTTTACTTACTAATCTGTAGTGCACAATTTCACACAGGTTTCACTACAGATTAGTAAGTAAGCTCGTGCGTACCTTGCTTATTGGGTAATCTGTCCCTTCTACCAGCAGTGGATGAGGGTTCCAGTTTCTCCACATCCTCACCAACACTTGTTGGTTTCCATTTTTCTAATCATATCCGTTCTAGTGGGAGTGAAAAGGTATCTCATTGTGGTTTTTATTTGTAGTTTTCTCCCAATATATTTTTAAAGGGGGATATTAATCCCTTTCCCTAGAGTTGTTTGAGAATTAAGTGGAAATGGGAACAGAGACTGCTGGCCGGGAGCAGGTGCTCAGTCAAGGTGGATTTAAAAAAATTGAACGACTAGCAGGGTATGAGTACCAAGCAATCAGAATGGATGCTGGTGCCCTGGAAGCCCGTGCTATGCTGGCTGTACCCTTTCAGTCCCAGGATCATAGGGTGGTCCTTGGGAGGGCTGGTGCAGCCAGGTGATGGGTCTTTATCTACCAGTCAGAAGTACAGGGTCATGGTAATGTTCCTGGATAAGTAGGTACCATTTGAGTATTTGTCCTGCTCTCGATGACCATGAACCTGAGAACCCATCTGTGAACACCAGAGTTTTCTGTTTCTCAGGGACTGCCCCCCTTCCCCAAAAGGGAGTTATGAAAACAGGACCCTGGTTAGATGTCCCCTGATCCAGAGAGAGGAAGGAACTCTGACTACCTCCATTTGTACACAGTTCACTCTAGCCACAGAATGCTTTCAGCTGGGCTACTCAGCAGATGGCCACTGCAAGGGACATCCTGACCCCACACTGCCCCAGCCCCAGCGGCTGTACTGGGACCTTCCAGATAAGGTGAGGCCAGGTCTCCAGGTCTCTCTTCTATGTCTCATAAATCCTAGCCTCAACTTCAAAGTCATCCCCATCCCCAATCTTAACCTCAAAATTAGCCCCATTCCTAACACCAACCTCATTCCCAACCCACACCCACTCCCAACCCAACCCAAACTCAACCTCAATCCAACCTCATCCCTAACCCCATTTCCATCCTCATCCCCAACCCTAACCCCGTTCCCACCTTCAACCCCATCCTTAACCCCTTTCCCAAATCCATCTCCATGCCCAATCTCAAACTCAACCTCAGTCCCATCCCAACTCCAACCACATCTCCATCCCCACTCCAAATTCTTCTCCATCCCAAATCCCACTATACCTAAATTCAATCTCATTCGCCACCCCAATTCCATCCATTCCCCACTGCAACTCAATCTCCATACCCAACCCTATTCCCAGTCCCATCCCTAGCCCCATTTCCAAGACAATTTCAATCCCATCTCCAACACCATTCCCAACCCCACTTCAGTTGTAGCCCAACCCCAATCCCATTCTGATCTTCACCTACATCCCTATCACTATTCCCATCTTTAACCTAGCCCCTCTGTTCCATCCTCTTCTTTGTCCCTACTTCTGAATTCTACCCCAACTCTAACTCCATCCCAATCTCCACTTCCAGCCCTATTCTCATCTCTAACCCTACCGTCACCCTTAATACTCACAGTTCTGCCTTCCCTCCTTCTCTGGTAGATCCATCCATCCATCTCTCTAGCCCTGAGGGGAGCAAAGGCCTTGTCTGGAAACATCGACTGCCACGTCTTCCCCTTCTCCCACTTTGGCAAAAGCTTCATCAAACGCTGCCATCTCTCTCCAGACAGCTTCATCCAGATGGCCTTGCAGCTGGCCCACTTCTGGGTCAGTGTGGTTCCCCAGGCCCCTTTTAGGATCCCTGGGCTCCCAAGACCTGCCTCTTCAGCTCCCTCACCAACGTCTAATGACTTCTCTTGGTGGTTGACATTGTGGGCCGCCATCTTGATTCTCTCTCCTGACCACACACTCCTGGGTGGGAGGAGGCTGGAGCTCCAGACAGATGTGGTTCACATCTATGAAGATTTCCTGAGCCCCGCTGATAGGCTTCTTTCCTCCTTGTCCCCTAGGACAGGGGTCAATTCTGCCTGACTTACGAGTCGGTTATGACTCGCTTGTTCTTGGAAGGCCGGACGGAGACGGTGCGGTCTTGTACGAGGGAGGCCTGCAACTTTGTGAAAGCCATGGAGGATGACGAGAAGACAGTGGGTGTGGGCCTCACTAGAGGCTTCGGTCATTTACATTTACTCATGCATACATTTGCAAGTGCTTATGGAGCACCTACTGAGTGCCATGCCCATGATGGGCACTAGGGACAAGGGAATGAACTTCAAGGAGCTCACTGTCTAATGGGGGGAGACAGATATTTCAGTATAGTGTGATATGGGCTTTAGTGGAGGTAGCATAGGGCATGAGAGTCCCTGGATGGGGCAAACGGTTAACGCACTCAGCTGCTAACAGAAAGATTGGAGGTTTGAGTCCACCCAAAGGTGCCTCGGAAGAAAGACCTGGTGATGTACTTCCTAAAAATCAGCCATAGAAAACCCTATGGACAACAGTTCTACTCTGACACACATAGGGTTGCCGTGAGTCACAATGGAGTCGATGGCAACTGGTTTTTATACAGCATGTGGTGGGGGGCACTGAAGGAGCTGTTTCCACAGTGTAGTACTCTTTGATTACTAAGCTTCTGTGTGACCTCCTGGTGGCACAGTGGCTAAGCATTTGGCTGCTAACCCAAAGGTCGATAGTTCGAATCTACCAGCCGCTCCTTGGAAACCCTATGGGGCAGTTCTACTCTGTCCTATAGGGTCGCTATGAGTCACAATCGACTCGACTGGTTTGGTTGTGACCTCCTTTTTCACCACTCCTCATGTCCCCTATAACGTTTCTGCTCAGGACCTCCCCCACACCTGAATCCCTCCCCGTCGGGCACCTCTACTCCTTCTCCCCGCTCTCTATGAGGTATTGTGGTTCAATGGAAGAAGTTTGGGCCCTGGGGTCAGACAGGCCTGGGGACCCACCCCCAGTTCTATCTCACTGTGTGGCCCTGAGAAAATTAGCTTCCTTTATCTGGACCTCAGTTTTCCCTCTGTCCAATGGGGTTGACATCCCTTGCAGGGATGTTGCAGGAGGCTGGGTTGAGGACAGGTGTGAGACAGGCTCCAGCAGCCCACTTCCTGTCTCTCCATGACCTGTGACCTCCCCGTGGACCCCAGGACCCTCAGTGCCTCGCCCTGTTCCGCGTGGCAGTGGACAAGCATCAGGCCCTGCTGAAGGCAGCAATGAGCGGGCAGGGAGTCGACCGGCACCTCTTCGCACTATACATCGTGTCCCGGTTCCTTCATCTGCAGTCGCCTTTCCTGGCCCAGGTTGCGGTGTGGGAAAGAGTCAGAGAAGGAAGCTAGGAGGCATGGGAGAGGGGAGGGACTTTCGGGCAAGGAAGGAGATATTGGAAAAGGGAGGTGTCCACAAAGGAAAGGGTTAGGGAAAAGGGGGCAAGAGAAGGGAAGGGGAGAGGGGCGTGGTCAGGGAGGAGAGAGGCAGAGGCGTGAAAGAGGGCCAATTTAGAGGAAATTACCAGAGTCAGAGGAGGTTAGAAAGGGCAAGGGGTACATAGTATGGGGTTGAGCCAAATGAGAGCATGCCTGCGGGTCCATTTCTCTTTCATGTGACCTTCTCTTGTCCCTCAGGTTCACTCGGAGCAGTGGCAGCTGGCCACCAGCCAGATCCCTGTTCAGCAAATGCACCTGTTTGACATCCACAATTACCCCGACTATGTTTCCTCTGGGGGTGGATTCGGGCCTGTGAGTGGAGCTGGGGCCCTGGAAACTGGGTCTGAGGGAATAGGGGCTAGGGGTCTGAGGGAGGAGGGGGCTAGGGGCCCGGACTCCTGGGTCTTGGGGTAGGAGAGGGCTGGGGGCCTGGACTCCCGCATTGTGGGGGTGGGGGTGGTGCTGAGGGCTATTTTGTTCCCATCACTCTTTCCCACTCCAGGCTGATGACCATGGTTATGGTGTTTCTTATGTCTTCATGGGGGATAACATGATCACCTTCCACATCTCTAGCAAAAAATCAAGCATGAAAACGGTGAGATAAACTTGGACATAAACTCCCACCCTTCTCCCTCAGACCCAGGAGTCAGGAATACCCTACCCTCTTGTTTCTCAGCCCTCAGGAGTCCCTATCCCAGCTTCCCCTGGACCTGATATGTTTCTTCTTCCAGGATGCCCACCGGCTGGGGCAGCACATTGAGGATGCATTGTTGGACGTGGCCTCCCTGTTCCAGGCTGGGCAAGGTCTTAGGCGCAGGTGCAGAGGGTTAGGGGGGAAGGACTCAGGGCACAAGTGTGGCTCCCTCTCCCTCCAGACTGAGAGCTCCAGGGCACCTACAACATCTGCTGACTTCTGACCCCTTTCACCAGGGAGCTGGTCTCCCTCAGGAACCAGGGTGAGGATCTACAGCTGGGCTGGTGCAGGACAGGGGCAGCCTGTTTGGAAATCTCACATGTGGGCCAATAAAGATGTGTGAGCTGCATGTGTGATGTTTGCTATGATCTTAGGCTGGGTGGGGGAGGGAGAGGTGAGGCTCAAGGTGGAGAAAAGTTTTCATCCACCTCCAGCCCCAGCTACGTTACTAGTTATAATCACTAACTTAATCAGAACTCCCCAATACCTGCCCAGTTTACTCCATTCCCAAAGCCAGTCACACCAAACCCAACTATCCAAAGCCAATCCCAACCAAACAACTCCATAAGCTCTCATTAGCCCAATTCCTGCTGCCCCATCACCAGCTGTCGATCCCCAACCCATCTCCAAATCTAAAGATCCAACACCAAGCCAGTCACCCCAACTGACCCCACCAAATGAATCCACTTGGATTCTTATTACCCAAACCCAACCCCAGCCATTTCAACCTCCACCTCAATGATGGATTCAGCTCTCATGACTACCCTAACCACTTCCATGATTCCATCAGCCAACAACTCCATGACACTACACCCCCCTACGCCAAACAATGCAACCTCAATTGGAACTATACACAAAAATCCAACCCCAAGCCCCAGCGTCCCACTAAACTTCCCACCCCATCTCCACCATGTTTTCGTTGTTAGTTGCTGTCGAGTTGATTTTTGATAAATATCATCCCCATGTGATACAGTAGAACTGCCCCATATGGTTTTCTAGGCTGTAATCTTTACTGAAGCAGATTGCCAGGTCTTTCTCCCACGGAATCTCTGGGTGGGTTTGAATTACCAACCTTTTGGTTAGCAGCCGAGCATTTAACTGTTCTGCCACCAGGGCTTCTTATCTCCATCATAACCCATACTCTTACTTGACCCACAGTTATGACTTTTAAGCACCACACTCCCCAACCACACCCCTACTCTACCCTTAATCTACCTTCACTGCCCACTAGCCCAACAACAGTAATACATACCAACACTACCTAACCACACCAAAATCCTAATCATCAAACCCACCAATGCTATGATTCCAAAACTCCATGACTGTGCCTCTCATTACTTCCACTAAGTCAAGTGTAATAACACCAACCCAACAATGAAAATAAAAATCCTAAACACCTCAACCTCCACCAGTCCAACCTCCAACACCCAGCCCATCAACTGGGTGGTCATTTTAAAAAATGTCCACAAGTACTTTGATACTCCTTCCTCCAAAAGGTGAAGCTTAATTCCCTCCTCTTGAATACAGGCTGGATTTAGTGACTCTTTTAACTAATAGAGTATGAAAGAAGTGACGAGGTCATACAAGACATTGTGGCTTCCTTATTGCTCTCTCTCTGAATCACTTGCTCTGGGGGTAGTCAGCCACTTGTCATGAGGACACTCAGGCAGCCTGTGGAGAGGCCCAAGTGGTGAAGAACTGAGGTCTCCAGCCAACAGCCATGTGACGGAGCCGTCTTGGAAGCAGATCCTCCAGCCCCAGTCAAGCCTTCAGATGCCTGTAGCCTGGCTGACATCTTGACTGTAACTTCATGCGGGATCATGAGCCAGAACCACCCAACCAAGCCACTCCTAGATTCCTGACTCTAGATACTGTGTGTGATAATAACTGTTTGTTGTTTTATGCTGCTAAGTTTTGGGGTAATTTTTTACACAGCAATATATAACTAATATAAACTCTCAACAACTCAGATTCAACTCCATATCCCTAACCCCATTGCATTTCCAAATCCATCCCAGTGGCAGAAGACCCTAAGGAGACATCCAATGATCTCCCACCTCCTGGCGTCCACACCTTTGTGGAATCCTGTCTTCTTGAGTGTAGGTGGGACCCATGGGTTGCAATATAATATGGCAAAGTTGATGGGACATATATTAGTTTCCTAGGGCTGCCATAATAAAGTATCACAAACTGGGTGGCTTATAAGAACACAAATTTATTGTCTCACAGTTCTGGAGACTAGAAGTCCAAAATCAGAGTGTCAGCCATGTTGATGCCTCCTGTGGGCTCTGGGGGAAAATCGGTTTCATGCCTTTCTCCTAGCTTCTGGTGATGGTCAGTGATCCTTGGTGTTCCTGATCTCTGCTTCCATCTTCACATGACCATCTTTCCTCTGTGTCTCTTCTCCTTTTATAAGGACACCACTCATATTGGATTAGGACACACTCTACTTCAGTATAAACAGCCCTGGTGGTGCAACAGTTAAGTGCTCATGAAAGATTGGTGGTTCAAACCCACCCAGTGGCTCTGCAGGAGAAAGACTTGGTAATCTGCTTTTGTAAAGATTACAGCCAAGAAAACCCTATAGGACAGTTCTACTCTGTCATATGGGGTTGCTATGAGTCAGAATTGACTTGATGGCACCCAACAACAACTACTACTTCACTGTGACCTCATATGAACCGATAACATCTTCAAAGACCCATTTCCAAACAAAGTTACACTCACAAGTACAGGGGTTAGGAATTCAATATATATTTTTGGGAGATAAAATTCAATTCATAACAGGATGTTACTCTCTTGATTAGGTTATATTATATAAGAGGCTGTCTTAGCAGATTGGGACAAGACATTCTCCTTATTGGCTTGCAGCCATGTTGAGAAAGCCTCCTTGGCAAGTAACTGCGAGTGGCCTCTAGCCAATAGTCAGCAAAAAGATGGGACCCTCTGTCATACAGCCACAAGGAAATAAATTTTGCCAACAACGTGGAGGAGGCTGAAAGTGAATATTTCCTTGGTCGAGCCTCTGATGAGACTGCAGCCCCAGCCAAACTCTGGACTGCAGCCTGGGCAGAACTTGAAGAAGAGAATCCAGCTAAGCTGTACTCAGGCTTCCGAGCAACATAAATTGTGAGATAGTAAATGTGTGTTGCTTTAAGACGCTAGCATACCCACTGCCCGGGGGCCTTTGAATCCCTTCCTGCATTATCTTCAATGTTAGTTCTTTCATTTCTACCTTATTTAGTGCATGTCATCATTTTCCAAGTTTCCAAGTGCCACCTCAGCAGCATAGTCACACTCACCTGGGGTCCTTGCCAAGGTGAACAATCCTGTATCATACAGGAGGGCTCTTGTTATAGATTGAATTGTGTCCCCCCAAAATATTTGTTGGAATCTGTGGTGAAATGAGTTCCTATATTTGGCCTTTTTCCTTGGTTCTTTGGAAAAACAGCTTGAGAGATTCTCCCCCTAAGCCCTGAGGAGTTACCTTTGCCCTAGTTCTTTGGAGAAGCAACTTGGAGTGGGGGCTCCCATGTTGTTTTCTATCCCAAAGGGTTTGTTACTGTTGTACAGGTTGATTGACATTTCCTGGGTAAGCTGCAAACAATTTGATGGTTTGATATTTTTGTCTAGCCTTGGGCTGCAGTCTGCCCTGTGATTGGCTTATTTTACACACCTTGCAGGGATTGGTCAGTTTACTATGCAAATTGAGTAACTTGCAGTCCACTGAGGGGATTGGTCAGTTCATGGTCCTGCTAGGAGAGCCATGCCTCAGAATTGACAAGGAGTCTGCTTATATAAGTAGCCAACCCCACAAGTTTTTTTAGAGGAAAAAAAGAGAGAAGAAACAGAGAGATTGGAAGCAAGGAACCTCTTAAAAGAACTGTAACATGGGTCAAAGGCTGTAACACTGAAGATGGTGAGGAGCCCAGAAGGGGCCCTGTGGCAGAGCCAGCGGTAACAGCAGAAAATTGCTGTTGGGAGAGCAAAAGCCAGGCAAACTGTTACACTGGCTATGAGCTGGTCCAGTTAGCAATGGAGAGGCTGATGGTGGGGAGCCTGAAGGCAGAGAGGCCTGCACGGCTGAGAGCGGGTGTGCATGGCTGAGAAGAGGCCTGTCCTGAGGAGACTGAGAGGGGCCGTGTACAGTCAAGAGAAGGGCCTGCCTGCTTGCATGGCCAAGAGGAGTTGAGAGAGCTGTCCTGCACTGAAGAAGGAAGGGATGTGCTCTCCAATTTGGGGGAGGCTTCCAGACTTTGGCTACATGCTTCCTGATCCTGATGCCTAGTTGTAACTCATTACTTCCCTAATAAACCACATAACTGTGAGTATGATCTGTGACTTCTGTGTGGCCATTGCAATGAATTATTGAACCCAGCAGAGAAATAGAGAGTGCCAGTGGGTGTGGGGGACGGGACAGATGGTGTCAGAATTGGTGAAAAATTTGGACAGTGGATGCAGTGTGATGGATCGCTTTTATATGGCCTTTTTCACCATGGTCTTGTAACTCCCACTAAATAACTGGGTGGGACTATGCAAATGAGGTGCTTGTGGCCTACCAAGGGAATTGGACAGCTTGCTATTAATACAAATAAGGTCATGGCACCCTTGTGGGGGTGGGACCATGCAAATAAAGTGTATGGAACCCTAAGGAGGGGGTTCGTCAGTTCTGCCATCCTGCTAGGCTTAAAATGAGCCATCCCAGAGGCAAAAAGGGGAGATCTCACTACTACCAAGAAAGAACAGCTAGGAGTGGAGTGTGTCCTTTGGACTCAGGATCCCTGTGCTGAAAAGCTCTTAGAGCCAGGAGACAGTGAGAGAGAGCTGTAACCGGAAATAGTGAGAGACGGTGAGAAGCAGCAACAGAGAAATAGCGGCAACAGAGGCAGCAGAACTAGAAGACTGGCAGAAGATGGCATGGTGGGCTTCCTGGCACATGGAGCAAGAAAGCTGAGTGCCTTTGGGCAGGAGGCTTGCTGGTGAACTGGGGTGCCTCTGGGCACTTATTGGCAGAGCTGAAAAAGAGCTTTGTAATACTCGCCCGGGCAGGGCAGAGGCCGGGTCAAGCGGTTGAGGGCCACAAAAAGGCCTGTCTGCGGCCATGACTGAGTAGCTGTCCTGAATGAAGAACTGTATCCTGAGTCATTTCTGATCCTGAATTGTAAACTGTAATAGACCCCATAATCCTGAGTATGGTCTATGAGTTCTGTGTGGTCACAGCAATTAATTATCTAATCCAGCAGAGGAGCAGAGAGTGCTGTAGGAGGGATGGCTGGTGTTAGAATTGGTAAAAACATTGGAGAGAGGACGTATGTCTGACCTTTGCCTCATAAGAATCAGCTTTGGG